GTGCTTGAGAACCCTACAAAGGTTGCTTGAGAACCCTCCAGCAGCGCTGAGAACCCACCACTGCGATTGAGAACCCACCACAGCGCTTGAGGACCCTCCACAGCGCTTGAGAACCCTCCACAGCGCTTGAGGACCCTCCACAGCGCTTGAGAATCCTCCACAGCGCTTGAGGTCCCTACACAGTCCTTGAGGACCCTCCACAGCGCTTGAGAATCCTCCACAGCGCTTGAGGTCCCTACACAGTCCTTGAGGACCCTCCACAGCGCTTGAGAATCCTCCACAGCGCTTGGAGAGTGCTACCTACACAGTCCTTGAGGACCCTCCACAGCGCTTGAGAACCCTCCACAGCGCTTGAGGTCCCTACACAGTCCTTGAGAACCCACCACAGCGTTTGAGAACCCTCCACAGCGCTTGAGAACCCACCACAGAGCTTGAGAACCCACCACAGAGCTTGAGAACCCACCACAGCGTTTGAGAACCCACCACTCCGCTTGAGAACCCACCCCACCGCTTGTGAAACCTCCACAGCGCTTGAGGTCCCTCCACAGTGCTTGAGGTCCCTCAACGTGCTTAGGACTGAGGGGAAACCCCCCCAGGAGGCCCCCTTTGAGAACCCTCCGCAGCGTTTGAGAACCCACCACAGCGTTTGAGAACCCACCACACCGCTTGAGAACCCACCCCACCGCTTGAGATCCCACCACAGCGCTTGAGAACCCACCACAGCGCTTGAGAATCCACCACAGAGGTTGCGAACACAACTGCGCTTGAGAACCCTCCACAGCACTTACGAACCCTCCACAGCGCTTGAGAACCCGCCACAGGGCTTGGGAACCCTCCACAGCGCTTGAGAACCCACCACAGCGCTTCAGAACCCTCCAGAGAGGTTGCGAACACGCCACAGCGCTTGAGAACCCACCACAGGGCTTGGGAACCCTCCACAGCGCTTGAGAACCCACCACAGCGCTTGAGAACCCACCACAGCGCTTGGGAACCTTGCACAGCGCTTGAGAAACCTAGACAGCGCTCGAGAACCCTCGACAGCGCTTGAGAACCCTCCACAGCGCTTAAGAAGCCTGCACAGCGGTTGAGAACCCTCCACAGCGCTTAAGAACCCTCCACAGCGGTTGGAAACCTACCACAGCGCTTGAGAACCCTCCACAGCGCTTAAGAACCCTCCACAGCGCTTGGAAACCCACCACAGCGCTTGAGAACCCACCACAACGCTTGGGAACCCTCCACAGCGCTTGAGAACCCATCACAGCGCTTGAGAACCCTCCACACCGCTTGAGAACCCTCCACATCGCATGAAAACCCACCACAGCGCTTGAGAACCCACCATTGCGCTTGGGAACCCACCATTGCGCTTGGGGACATTCCAGAGCGCTTGGGAACCCTCCACAGCGCTTGGGAACCCTCCGCAGCGCTTGAGAACCCACCAAAACGATTGAGAACCCACCAAAGCGCTTGAGAACCCTCCACAGCGCATGAGAACCCTCCACAGCGCCCTGAGAACCCTGCACAGCGCTTGAGAACCCCCCACAATGCTTCAGAACCCTCCACAGCGCTTGAGAACCCACCACAGCGCTTGAGAACTCACCAGAGCGCTTGAGAACCCACCACGCTTGAGAACCCACCAGAGCGCTTGAGAACCCTCCACAGCGCTTGAGAACCCTCGCAGCGCTTAAGAACCCTCCGCAGTGCTTGAGAACCCACCACAGCGCTTGAGAACCCACCACAGCGCTTAAGAACCCTCCACAGCGCTTGAGAACCCTCCACAGTGCTTGAGAACCCTCCACAGCGCTTGAGAACCCACCACAGCGCTTAAGAACCCTCCACAGCGCTTGAGAACCCTCCACAGTGCTTGAGAACCCTCCACAGCGCTTGAGAACCCACCGCAGCGCTTGCGAACCCTTCACAGCGCTTGAGAACCCTCCACAGCGCTTGGGAACCCTCCACAGCGCTTGAGAACCTTCCACAGCGCTTGAGAACCCTCCACAGCGCTTGAAAACCTTCCACAGCGCTTGGAACGCTCACAGCACTTGGACTCCACAGCGCTTGCGGAAGCTCTCACAGCGCTTGGACCCTCCACAGCGCTTGCGAACCCACAGTCTTAAAAACTCACCACAGTGCTTTAGAGCCTTCCACAGCGCTTGAGAACCCACCACAGTGCTTGAGAACCTCCACAGAGGTTGCGAACACACCACAGCGCTTAAGAACGCACCACAGCACCTGATAACCCACCACAGAACTTCAGAACCCACCACAATGCTTAAGAACCAACCACAGCCCTCAAAAACCCACCACAGCACCTGAGAACCCACCACAGAACTTCAGAACCCACCACAATGCTTAAGAACCAACCACAGCCCTCAAAAACCCACCACAGCCATCGAGAAACCAAAGACAGTGCATGAGAACTCTACAGTGATTGAGAGAACTACAAAGTGCTTGAGAACCCACCACAGCGCATCAGAACCCTCCAGAGCGCTTGAGAACCCTCCACAGCGCTTGAGAGCCCTCCACAGTGCTTGAGAACCCTACACAGTGCTTGAGAGCCCTACACAGCGCTTGAGAGCCCTCCACAGTGCTTGAGAGCCCTCCACAGTGCTTGAGAGCCCTACACAGCGCTTGAGAGCCCTCCACAGTGCTTGAGAGCCCTACACAGTGCTTGAGAACCCTTCACAGCGCTTGAGAACCCTCCACAGTGCTTGAGAACCCTCCACAGCGCTTGAGAACCCTCCACAGTGCTTGAGAACCCTACACAGTGCTTGAGAGCCCTACACAGCGCTTGAGAGCCCTCCACAGTGCTTGAGAGCCCTACACAGCGCTTGAGAACCCACCGCAGCGCTTGAGAACCCTCCGCAGCGCTTGAGAACCCACCACAGCGTTTGAGAACCCACCACACCGCTTGAGAGCCCACCACAGCGCTTGAGAACCTCCACAGAGGTTGCGAACAAACCACAGCGCTTGAGAACCCTCCATAGCGCTTGAGAACCCTCCACAGCGCTTGAGAACCCTCCACAGCGCTTGAGAACCCTTCACAGCGCTTGAGAACCCTTCATAGCGCTTGAGAACCCACCACAGCGCTTGAGAACCCTCCACAGCGCTTGAGAACCCTCCACAGCGCTTGAGAACCCTCCACAGCGCTTGAGAACCCTCCGCAATGTTTAAGAACCCTCCACAGCGCATGAGAACCCTCCACAGCGCCCTGAGAACCCTGCACAGGGCTTGAGAACCCTCCACAATACTTCAGAACCCTCCACAGCGCTTGAGAACCCTCCACAGCGCCCTGAGAACCCTGCACAGGGCTTGAAAACCCTCCACAATACTTCAGAACCCTCCACAGCGCATGAGAACCCTCTACAGCGCCCTGAGAACCCTGCACAGGGCTTGAGAACCCTCCACAATACTTCAGAACCCACCACAGCACTTGAGAACTCACCAGAGCGCTTGAAAACCCACCATGCTTGAGAACCCACCAGAGCGCTTGAGAACCCTCCACAGCGCTTGAGAATCCTCCGCAGCGCTTGAGAACCCTCTGCAATGCTTGAGAACCCTCCACAGCGCTTGAGAACCCACCACAGCTCTTGAGAACCCTCCACAGCGCTTGAGAACCCACCACAGCGCTTGAGAACCCTCCACAGCGCTTGAGAACCCTCCACAGTGCTTGAGAACCCTCCACAGCGCTTGAGAACCCACCACAGCGCTTGAGAACCCACCACAGTTCTTGGGAACCCTCCACAACGTTTGAGAACCCTCCACAGCGTTTGAGAATCCACCACAGCGCTTGCGAACCCTTCACAGCGCTTGAGAACCCTCCACAGCGCTTGAGAACCCTCCACAGCGCTTGAGAACCCACCACAGCGCTTGAGAACCCACCACAGCGCTTGAGAACCCACCACAGCGCTTGAGAACCCTCCACAGCGCTTGGGAACGCTCCACAGCTCTTGAGAACCCTCCACAGCGCTTGAGAACCCTCTACAGCGCTTGGGGACCCTCCACAGCGCTTGGGGACCCTCCACAGCGTTTGAGAACCCACCACAGCGCTTGAGAACCCACCACAGCGCTTGAGAACCCTCCACAGCGCTTGAGAACCCTCCACAGCGCTTGAGAACCCTCCACAGCGCTTGAGAACCCACGACAGCGCTTGAGAACCCATCACAGCGTTTGGGAACCCTCCACAGTACTTGAGAACCCATCACAGCGCTTGAGAACCCTCCACAGCGCATGAAAACCCACCACAGCGCTTGAAAACCCACCACAGCGCTTGAGAACCCACCATAGCGTTTGAGAACCCTCCACAGCGCTTGAGAACCCACCACAGCGCTTGAGAACCCACCATAGCGTTTGAGAACCCTCCAGAGCGCTTGAGAACCCACCACAGCGCTTTAGAAACCACCACAGCGCTTGGGAACCCTCCACAGCGCTATAGAACCCTCCACAGCGCTATAGAACCCTCCACAGGGCTTAGGGACCCTCTACAGCGCTTGAGAACCCACCACAGCGCTTGAGAACCCACCACAGCGCTTGAGAACCCTCTGCAGGGCTTGAGAACCCTCCACAGCGCTTGAGAACCCTCCACAGCGCTTGAGAACCCTCCACAGCGCTTGAGAACCCTCCACAGCGCTTGAGAACCCTCCACAGCGCTTGAGAACCCTCCACAGCGCTTGAGAACCCACTATAGCGCTTCAGGACCCACCATAGCGCCTCAGAACCCTCCACAGTGCCTCAGATCCCACCACAGCGCCTCAGAACCCATCACAGCGCCTCAGAACCCACCACAGCCCTAGAGAACCCACCACAGCGCTTGAAAACCCACCAGTGCTTGAGAACCCTCCACAGCACTTCAGAACCCATACTAGTGCTTTAGAACCCACCACAGCGCCTCAGAACCCACCACAGCACTTTAGAACTCTCCCTAGTGCTTCAAAACCCATCATGAAGCCTATGACCCACGATAGTGCCAGAACCCCCCCCCCCATGGCACCCAAGAAACCCACCATAGAGCCTGATGGTGCCCTGGGCATGCCCAGTGGGATTTATGGCATGACAGGCGTAGCGGGTGAAGTCACCTGGTCCAACCTTCAGTATGGTCAGTAGCACCTCGGTTCTCGTACCCACCTTCACCTCCTCTAGGTGGTACTTGTCACCTGGAATTTTTAATAAGAACAATAAATATCAAAAATAAAATTATAATTTAAGAGTAAAAAATAAAACAATGACTATAAAAAATAATATACTGAAAAAATGGGGAGTTACTCTAATGTGAAAAAAATATAATATATCCAACACTATGCCCAGGCCCTATAGGGCAGGGTAGGTGCCCGAGTCATAGCTTTCAGCCCACAAGACTGCCATCCTCATTAGCCCCCCTTGGGGCTGGGATGGCAGACCAGAGGCCTAGTTTCTCCCTACGAGTCCCATGAGGGCGGGGAATGTGGCTAGGCCTGGGGACAGTTGGTCCTAACGATGTAGGGGGTACTTGTGCCTCCTCCCATGGAAGACTTAGGTCTGAGACACTCCCTAGACAGGGAGCCAAGGCCGGGCCCCGGTATTCTCTTGGAGAATACCGGGGAAACACAAGAAGGGTCATCACAGCATGTGGAACGCCAGGTAATTAGGTCAGATCCGAGGGAGGTCAACGCCCCCGGAGCTCAGTCCATGACCAGGTTGCGGTAGCTCCCATTTTTTCTTTAATTTAAAGCGTCCTCTCAAAGGAGGTGATATCACAGTATATTGTGGTTTTGACACCGCAGTTACGGGAATGACCCGATTCGTTAGTGACCTACTGTTAGTGGACTTACTGTTGGTAATGTTGGTTCCGTTGACTGTCCAGTAGTGCTGGGGTGGAGGGTTGGCCTCGCTGGAACAGTTGAGGGTCAGATCAATGCCAATCTTAGTGCCCACCAGCTCCCGTCCCAGCCACAACACAGGAGCGTCTGACGGAAATATACACAGGTTTCCCGTGAAATACGTATACCAGTTTTATATTGAAATACACAAGTTTACCATGAATATATTAGTTGAATATTGAAATATACGAGTTTACCCACGAAACACATGTACGTACACTAAAATATAGTAATTTTACTACCAGGTATGAGTTTCTCCAGGAAATATTAGATTAATGTTGAAATATTACACCAGTTAACTGTGAAATGTACCAGTTAACTATCAAATGTACCAGTTAACTATGGAATACAACAGTTAACTGTGAAATACACCACGTTTCGCCACAATAAAGGAACAAGTTTAATTCCTTGCATCAAGAGCCCTCACTTGCATCAAGAGCCCTCTCGCTAGCATCAAAAGCATCTTACCAGTATCAAGAACCCCTATCATCAAGGTCCCACTACTAGCTCATGTGAAGATTCCTATCACCCAAATCCCTCACTAGTATCAAGACCCCCTCACTAGTATCAAGATCCCTATGATCAAGAGCCCCTCATCCGCATCCATGCACCTCCCTAGAGAGATCTTGTTGTCATATGATGTTTCTCCTAGGCTACCAGTTGGGAGGCTGATGTTTCTCCTAGGCTACCAGTTGGGAGGCTGATGTTTCTCCTAGGCTACTAGTTGGGAGGCTGATGTTTCTCCTAGGCTACCAGTTGAGAGGCTGATGTTTCTCCTAGGCTACCAGTTGGGAGGCTGATGTTTCTCCAGGCTACCAGTTGGGAGGCTGATGTTTCTCCCAGGCTACCAGTTGGGAGGCTGATGTTTCTCCCAGGCTGCCAGTTGGGAGGCTGATGTTTCTCCCAGGCTGCCAGTTGGGAGGCTGACGTTTCTCTTAGGCTACCAGTTGGGAGGCTGATGTTTCTCCTAGGCTACCAGTTGGGAGGCTGATGTTTCTCCTAGGCTACCAGTTGGGAGGCTGATGTTTCTCCTAGGCTACCAGTTGGGAGGCTGATGTTTCTCCTAGGCTACCAGTTGGGAGGCTGATGTTTCTCCTAGGCTACCAGTTGGGAGGCTGATGTTTCTCCTAGGCTACCAGTTGGGAGGCTGATGTTTCTCCAGGCTACCAGTTGGGAGGCTGATGTTTCTCCTAGGCTACCAGTTGGGAGGCTGATGTTTCTCCTAGGCTACCAGTTGGGAGGCTGATGTTTCTCCTAGGCTACCAGTTGGGAGGCTGATGTTTCTCCTAGGCTACCAGTTTGGAGGCTGTTTCTCCTAGGCTACCAGTTGGGAGGCTGATGTTTCTCCTAGGCTACCAGTTGGGAGGCTGATGTTTCTCCTAGGCTACCAGTTGAGAGGCTGATGTTTCTCCTAGGCTACCAGTTGGGAGGCTGATGTGTTTCTCCTAGGCTACCAGTTGAGAGGCTGATGTTTCTCCTAGGCTACAAGTTGGGAGGCTGATGTGTTTCTCCAAGGCTACCAGTTGGGAGGCTGAAGTTTCTCCTAGGCTACCAGTTGGGAGGCTGATGTGTTTCTCCTAGGCTACCAGTTGGGAGGCAGATGTTTCTCCTAGGCTACTAGTTGGGAAATAACAAAAGGCGGCACAATACCGTGACTGGAACGATACACAAATAACCCGCACATAGAAGAGAGGAGCTTACGACAACGTCGTCGAAACGTCGTCGTAAGCTCCTCTCTTCTACGTGCGGGTTATTTGTGTACCAGTTGGGAGGCTGATGTTTCTCCTAGGCTACCATGTAGGTGTTGAAGAGGTACTCACAGGTGACAGTGAGGTGGGTGGTGCGGGAGACAGGTGCTGTAGCGTTGTTATCGACATTACAGGTGTAAGCACCAGTGTGTTCACGTCTCACTGAGTCGAACACTAAGTCAGGGCCCTCGATCGTCCACACTGCCAATGAACCACGTCTGTCAGAATAAACCTCACAATATCATGGCTGGGGAATGAAAGATATCCAGATCTGGTGAAAACAGAGAAGGTAGTTAATATTCCTTCTATCAAGAACTCTTTAGAATCAAGGTCTTCCCCTTTTAAGGGTCTAAAACTACCACGGGAACAGCCAGAGTTGTTCCAGTCAACTGAACTTATACACCTTAAGTCATTTTCATTTAATGTTACGTGAATTTTAAGAGTATCTTGGGAAGCACTAAACTCGTAGGGATTATACAGCACCTGTGGGAGGATCGAAGACATTTAGGCTTAATTCAGGGAACTGGAAAACATTCAATTCCCTGACCAGTATCAAGGAACCTCCCCTGAGGGGACGTAAATCTTAGAATGGTTCGGTTAGGCTGCTTGGTTAGTACTGGTGCATAAAAAAGCATATGAAAAACTTTTACAAGAAAATCTGCCTGGTTTCCCTAGAGTGTCGATGCTTCAGTTGGTCTCATTATAACAAAAAAAAGGTTCGAGTCGATCGAAACGTCATCGCAAACTCCTGTTTTCTATGTGCGAGTTATTTGTGTATTATCTCATTATGGTTTAGACTTGAGAAAGATACCTGCGCGAAAACCAAAATATATGTCGAACAAAGCCTAGTGTGTGCTTACCAAGGTTCATGTCGCATTGATTCCATTATTCCAAGTAATTACTTATATTTCTGGGTCAACAGCAGCGCTGGTTCTCGTTGGCAATATACAAGTTACTGTTAGTCTCACATGACAGTTAACACAGCATCACTTTCCCAGTTCTTCCAACTACTGGCAGTCACCTCATCAGCCTTACAGTTTTCTCAATGATCATTACCACTGTTACAGATACTAATTATAATTCATTATTTAGCCACTAGCTGCTGAATCTGCCCAATAAACTAGCCACTTCAGTGGCAAAATCTAATTACATACATGCTGCTATGTGTGATAATCTATGTAACTATTTGTGTATACCTGAATAAACTTAATTACCTCCGCTCATCGACACCATGCCTAACCCTTCTAGGGTAGGGTAGGTGCCTGAGTCCGAGCCTTTAGCTCATAAGACTGTCATTCCCATTGCCCCCTTGGGGCGGGGATGGCAGACCAGAGAGGCCTAGCTTGTGGCTAGGCCTGGGGACAGTTGGTCCCAAAGATGAGGGGTACTTGTGCCTCCTCCCATGGGAGACTTAGGTCTCAGACACTCCTAAAGAGGGAGCCAAGGCCGGGCCACCACTTGGAAAAGGCCCGGGCCGGGAGAATACCGGTGAATCTTTAATAATAATAATAATAATACCTCCGCTTTAGGCTTGAACCTCTAGATCATTATCCCAGTCACTTATTCCTTCACAAAATTCATTATCACTTACTGCTGCGGATTTTCCTATTAACAATAATCGTTCAGTTTTTCACAACACCGTTATTTAATATATTTTTTTCAGCACAAACACTGACCACTGTTATTACCATGGGGGAGCACTAAACCCGTAGGATTATACACAAGTATGGGGGGGGGGGATGGTTCAATGCAGGGAACTGGAGCACAGATTCAGTTCCCTAGATCAAAAGCCCCTCACCAGCATCAAGGAACCTCCCTTGAAGGGACACTGGCCAATACACAATGTGTCTGTTGCTTCTTGTTCGCTTTCTGACCCCCTCACGTCTGACCATGGGGTGGCTGATTAATGGGGTTTGAAATCTATCGACTACACGAGGGTCATTAAGACTGCCTGTCACCTTGTTTACCACCAGTCAAGAATATTTTTTATCCCTACAACGGATGTAAAGCTATCAGCGTATATAATAATAATAATAATCATAATAATAATAACAATAATAATAATAATCTTTATTTCTACCAGTACATATACAAGGTATACAGACCATAGCTGACATCAATGACATACTATTATATAGAAAGTCACTTGTTATGCAGAGCATTTCCCGCAAATTAGATAAATTTTGTCCCAGGATGCGACCCACACCAGTCCACTAAGAATCTGGTACCTAATTCACTGATAGGTGAACCGGGGATCGAACCACGGACCTCAGTGTGAGCCGAGTGCGCTAGCATTCGAGCTACGGAACACCGTTACAGTTATCACCGATGACTAAGAGGCAGTAAACATCGTGTACCTGGAGGTTACCTGGAGGTTATTCCGGGGATCAACGCCCCCGCGGCCCGGTCCATGACCAGGCCTCCCGATGGATCAGGGCCTGATCAACTAGGCTGTTACTGCTGGCCGCACGCAGTCAGACGTACGAGCCACAGCCCGGCTGATCCGGCACCGACTTTAGGTATCTGTCCATGACAGTATTACCATGACAGGCACCAGGGTACAGTTTTCCCGTTTTCCTGACAAACAAAACACTTCTAATACGCAATATATCGATATATGCAATTATATCGTGTCATACCCTGCGAAGGGTTACAATGATGCCACTTACAGTCTCTTGATCCAGGGAAATGGAGCAGTCCACCAATTCCCCATGCTCTGCATGACCCTTACGGGTTTGGCGTTTCCCCTTGAATGAAATGAAATCACTGCCTAACAATAGCAAAACTGAGGATATGTATTACGTTACAATTTACCTTAAACAATTATACTTACATTTATGGGAAAACGCTAAACCCGTAGGGTTCGCAGCTGGCAAATAATAGGTATATCGTAATTATATAAAATTCTCCACTAGCGGCTAGACACATTTCCCTGGTAAACCTTAACTGACCTGCATACCGTGACCTGAAATCGACACCATGTCCAGCCCTTCTAGGGCAGGGTAGGTGCCTGAGCCAGAGCTTGCAGCTCACAAGACTGTCATTCCCATTAGCCTCCTTGGGGCGGGGATGACAGACCAGAGAATCCTAGCTTGTGGCTAGGTCTGGGGACAGTTGGTTCCAAAGATGAGGGGGTATTTGTGCCTCCTCCCATGGGAGACTTAGGTCTCAGATACTCCCTAGAGAGGGAGCCACCACTTGGAAAAGGCCCGGGCCGGGAGAATACCGGCGAATATTTAATAATAATAATAATAATAATAATAATAATAATAATAATAATAATAATAATAATAATAATAATAAGTGACCTGAAGAGTTCGGACGAGATGATCTGAGGAACCTACTAACATGAATCTGGATTGACCTGTACGCGTCGACGTGAAGAACCTGGACTGACCTGTACGCGGTGACTTGAAGAACCTAGAGTCCTGAAGAACCTGGACTGACTTGTACGAGGCGACCTGAAGAACCTAGAGTCCTGAAGAACCTGGACTGACCTGTACGAGGCGACCTGAAGATGGGACCTGCGTCAGCCCTCTTCCACGTCGTGAGGGCTGGTGGGAAGGCCCTGGCCCTACAGGTCAGTCTCACTGCCGCCCCTTCCCTCACTTCCACATAAGAACCAGACCATTCCTCCAGCGTAGGCGGCACTGATGATCCGTCGGGAACAAGAAAAACACAAATTTTCTTAGGATAGGTTCGTCAGGAAACAGGACAAGTGTTTCCTGACGTGGGTCTAATTTCGGCCATGTTGGTAGCCTAGGTAACTCCTGACGTTCATAAAAATTTGAGATTCGTAATTATACTTGCCATTTTAATTTTTCTTAGGAGATTTTACGAAGTAATAATACTAGTACTAATATTATTATTATACTTATATTTATGTTATATTTACAAAAGCGTTGAAACAACTTATCTAAATTTACAGTACAAATATCGAGTTATTACACAAGGAGCCAGTAAACAGCCCTGTGGGGTCGCGTCTATAAGGATCCCAGTGGAAGTAAGCCACTTTGACTTTTTTGGGGGGGGTTATCCTTAGTAATTTACACATATGTTACAAAACAATCACAGGGGGAGTTGAATGATGACTCTAGGCCTTTCGTGTTGCAATCGACACATCATCAGGAGCTTGCAATGCTGCAGAAATGAATAGGAAGTCCAGGTAGATTCATTCAGGGAAATGACTCTAGCTAGAGTCGTTCCCTTGAACGAATTTGCCTGGACTTCTTTCTTATTTCTGCAACATTGCAAGCTCCTAATGATGTGCTGATTGCAATACTAAAGACCTAGAACTATCATTCAACCTCCTGTGACTGTCTTCCATCTTGTATCGCTTGTTCACGAAATCTGCAATATGTTACTAGGTATAATAATTGTACTTACGTGTACTCGTACCTAAATAAACTTACCTAGCACCTGCAAGTAGCTCCTGGAGAAGGTCATAGGTTCCGTGTTAAGCTGACACATATACCAGCCACGATCAACAGACAACACTGGTGAGAGTGTCAGCCCAGCTGAGTGGTGGTCAGCGTGGAGGGAGAGCCTGGGAGTGTTGGTGTAGAGCTGACGACCTATGCTCAGGATGGATTGTGTCTCCTCGTGTACCCACGCTAGCTGCTGACACAAATAAAAAAAAAAAACACAATACCGTGACTAGAACAATACACAAATAACCCGTACATAGGAGAGAAGACCTTATGACGACGCTTCGGTCCGACTTGGACTTCGTAAATGGTCCAAGTCGGACCAATACATTGTCGTAAGCTTCTCTCTACTATATGCAGGTTGACTCACGAAATCGTAAGGACACGATTGCAAACAAACCATACCCCGGCCGGGATTGAACCCGCGGTCAGAGAGTCTCAAAACTCCAGACAGTCGCTAGCTGGGCTAGTGGCTAACGCGACGGTCTGGAGTTTTGAGACTCTCTGACCGCGGGTTCAATCCCGGCCGGGGTATGATTTGATGTGCAGGTTACTTGTGCTGACACATACATACACATACATATACAAACAGGAAACCTAAGACCTTCGTCAGGAAACCCAAGACCTTCGTCAGGAAACCCAAGACCTTCGTCAGGAAACCCAAGACCTTCGTCAGGAAACCCAAGACCTTCGTCAGGAAACCCAAGACCTTCGTCAGGAAAACCCCAAAACCTTCGTCAGGAAACCCAAGACCTTCGTCAGGAAACCCAAGACCTTCGTCAGGAAACCCAAGACCTTCGTCAGGAAACCCAAGACCTTCGTCAGGAAACCCAAGACCTTCGTCAGGAAACCCAAGACCTTCGTCAGGAAACCCAAGACCTTCGTCAGGAAACCCAAGACCTTCGTCAGGAAACCCAAGACCTTCGTCAGGAAACCCAAGACCTTCGTCAGGAAACCCAAGACCTTCGTCGGAAACCCAAGACCTTCGTCAGGAAACCCAAGACCTTCGTCAGGAAACCCAAGACCTTCGTCAGGAAACCCAAGACCTTCGTCAGGAAACCCAAGACCTTCGTCAGGAAACCCAAGACCTTCGTCAGGAAACCCAAGACCTTCGTCAGGAAACCCAAGACCTTCGTCAGGAAACCCAAGACCTTCGTCAGGAAACCCAAGACCTTCGTCAGGAAACCCAAGACCTTCGTCAGGAAACCCAAGACCTTCGTCAGGAAACCCAAGACCTTCGTCAGGAAACCCAAGACCTTCGTCAGGAAACCCAAGACCTTCGTCAGGAAACCCAAGACCTTCGTCAGGAAACCCAAGACCTTCGTCAGGAAACCCCAAAACCTTCGTCAGGAAACCCAAGACCTTCGTCAGGAAACCCAAGACCTTCGTCAGGAAACCCAAGACCTTCGTCAGGAAACCCAAGACCTTCGTCAGGAAACCCAAGACCTTCGTCAGAAACCCAAGACCTTCGTCAGGAAACCCAAGACCTTCGTCAGGAAACCCAAGACCTTCGTCAGGAAACCCAAGACCTTCGTCAGGAAACCCAAGGCCTTCGTCAGGAAACCCAAGGCCTTCGTCAGGAAACCCAAGGCCTTCGTCAGGAAACCCAGGACCTTCGTCAGGAAACCCAGGACCTTCGTCAGGAAACCCAGGACCTTCGTCAGGAAACCCAGGACCTTCGTCAGGAAACCCAAGACCTTCGTCAGGAAACCCAAGACCTTCGTCAGGAAACCCAAGACCTTCGTCAGGAAACCCAAGACCTTCGTCAGGAAACCCAAGACCTTCGTCAGGAAACCCAAGACCTTCGTCAGGAAACCCAAGACCTTCGTCAGGAAACCCAAGACCTTCGTCAGGAAACCCAAGACCTTCGTCAGGAAACCCAAGACCTTCGTCAGGAAACCCAAGACCTTCGTCAGGAAACCCAAGACCTTCGTCAGGAAACCCAAGACCTTCGTCAGGAAACCCAAGACCTTCGTCAGGAAACCCAAGACCTTCGTCAGGAAACCCAAGACCTTCGTCAGGAAACCCAAGACCTTCGTCAGGAAACCCAAGACCTTCGTCAGGAAACCCAAGACCTTCGTCAGGAAACCCAAGACCTTCGTCAGGAAACCCAAGACCTTCGTCAGGAAACCCAAGACCTTCGTCAGGAAACCCAAGACCTTCGTCAGGAAACCCAAGACCTTCGTCAGGAAACCCAAGACCTTCGTCAGGAAACCCAAGACCTTCGTCAGGAAACCCAAGACCTTCGTCAGGAAACCCAAGACCTTCGTCAGGAAACCCAAGACCTTCGTCAGGAAACCCAAGACCTTCGTCAGGAAACCAAGACCTTCGTCAGGAAACCCAAGACCTTCGTCAGGAAACCCAAGACCTTCGTCAGGAAACCCAAGACCTTCGTCAGGAAACCCAAGACCTTCGTCAGGAAACCCAAGAAACCCTTTGTCAGGAAACCCAAGACCTTCGTCAGGAAACCCAAGACCTTCGTCAGGAAACCCAAGACCTTCGTCAGGAAACCCAAGACCTTCGTCAGGAAACCCAAGACCTTCGTCAGGGAAACCCAAGACCTTCGTCAGGAAACCCAAGACCTTCGTCAGGAAACCTAAGACCTTCGTCAGGGAAACCTAAGACCTTCGTCAGGAACCCAAGACCTTCGTCAGGAAACCCAAGACCTTCGTCAGGAAACCCAAGACCTTCGTCAGGAAACCCAAGACCTTCGTCAGGAAACCAAGACCTTCGTCAGGAAACCCAAGACCTTCGTCAGGGAAAACCCCAAAACCTTCGTCAGGAAACCTAAGACTTCGTCAGGAAACCTAAGACCTCGTCAGGAAACCTAAGACCTTCGTCAGAAACCTAAGACCTTCGTCAGGAAACCTAAGACCTTCGTCAGGAAACCTAAGACCTTCGTCAGGAAACCTAAGACCTTCGTCAGGAAACCTAAGACCTTCGTCAGGAAACCTAAGATCTTCGTCAGGAAACCTAAGATCTTCGTCAGGAAACCCAAGACCTTCGTCAGGAAACCCAAGACCTTCGTCAGGAAACCCAAGACCTTCGTCAGGAAACCCAAGACCTTCGTCAGGAAACCCAAGACCTTCGTCAGGAAACCCAAGACCTTCGTCAGGAAACCCAAGACCTTCGTCAGGAAACCCAAGACCTTCGTCAGGAAACCCAAGACCTTCGTCAGGAAACCTAAGACCTTCGTCAGGAACCTAAGACCTTCGTCAGGAAACCTAAGACCCTTTGTCAGGAAACCCAAGACCTTCGTCAGGAAACCTAAGACCTTCGTCAGGAAACCCAAGACCTTCGTCAGGAAACCTAAGACCTTCGTCAGGAAACCTAAGACCTTCGTCAGGAAACCTAAGACCTTCGTCAGGAAACCCAAGACCTTCGTCAGGAAACCCAAGACCTTCGTCAGGAAACCCAAGACCTTCGTCAGGAAACCTAAGACCTTCGTCAGGAAACACTTATCCTGTTTCCTGACGAATATTACACCTACGTTTATCACAATATATACAATTAGTTTTATCTATCATATCAGTATCAACGATTATCAGATTTCGGAAAAACGGAGAAAATGCCGCCTTACCAGGAAAAAAAAAATGAGACATTTTGACATATTAAAAACTTAATGGTGATAAACGTCAATATTTAAAGTCCAGCGCCAATAATATGGAATATTTATTATCATCGTTAATCACTAATGTGACATCTGGAAAATCGATGTGAAATGTCAGGAATTCCTGTAGAATGTCAAAAATTATCTCCCACTAGTTTTTTCCTTCCTCTCTTATTATCATCTTATTGTTTATTCTCTGCATCTCTTTCTACTTTGATAAATAATAAATTATAAATGTTAGTCCTAGAAAATATGGTTAAGTTGCAGGAAAAAAGGTGATATTATTGACGAACTTAATATAAAGTCTCTGGGTATCCCTAGTATATATCTATGAATAACTGTGTATGAATATTTGTGTGTTTGTGTTTATGCATGTTAAGTGTATAAATAATGGTTATAAATGGCCTTAATTTTTAAAGGGGTGGACCGGTAAGCCAGTGGAAGGCCTCGGTCAGATGACCAAAAGCTCCAAAGGCGGGTTATCATCTGACTAAGACCCGCGTCAGGAAATATTTGTCCTGTTTTCTGACGAACCGAACCTAACCTAATACATGTTAAGTTTCCATTGCTAGTTTCATCGTATTACATAAAAACATAAGAACATAAGAAAGAAGGAACACTGCAACAGGCCTACTGACCCATGCGGAGCAGGTCCATGTCCCCCCCCCCGGATTAGCCCAATGAGCCACCCAGTCTGATCATCTCCACTCAAGGATGGAGCACTGTACCAGACCCAGCAGCACAAGCTAGTCAGGTCCAACTCACACCCACTCATGTATTTATCTAACCTATTTTTAAAACTACACAACATTTTAGCCTCAATTACTGTACTAGGGAGTTTGTTCCACTCATCCACAACTCTATTACCAAACCAGTACTTTCCTATATCCTTCCTGAATCTGAACTTTTCCAACTTGAAACCATTGCTGCGAGTCCTGTCTTGGCTGGAAATTTTCAGCACGCTATTTACATCCCCTTTATTTATTCCTGTTTTCCATTTATACACCTCGATCATATCCCCCCTAATTCTACGCCTTTCGAGAGAGTGCAGATTCAGCATACCCCCAGTGAAAAGTAGGGGCGTCACTGGTACACTAAGAGAAAACACAATAAGTGTCCGGGGCCCAAGACTGTTCAACAGCCTCCCACCAGCAATAAGGAGCATTACGGGAAGATTCCTGGTTGTCTTCAAGAGGGAGATGGACAGATACCTAAAGACAGTGCCGGATCAGCCGGGCTGTGGTTCGTACGTTAGATTACGTGCGGCCAGCAGTAACAGCCTCGTTGATCAGGCCCTGATCCACCGGGAGGCCTGGTCGTGGACCGGGCCGCGGGGACGTTGATCCCCGGAATGCCCTCCAGGCAGACTCCAGGTAGGTAGGTATAGGGAAGATTTCTGATACATGGGATCATCTTTGTCATCCTCCTCTGTACGTTTTCCAGAGCATTTATATCCATTCTGTAATACGGTGACCAGAATTGAGCAGCATAATCTAAATGAAGCCTAACCAAGGATATATAGAGTTGAAGAACAACCTGAGGACTTCTATTATTTATACTTCTAGATATGAAGCCAAGGATTCTGTTAGCTTTATTGCGAACACTAATGCACTGTTGTCTTGGTTTTAAATTACTGCTAACCAGAACTCCTAAATCCTTTTCGCAATCAGTAGTATTAAGATCTACATTATTTAGTTTATATGTGGCATGGTTATTTACCTGTCCAACATTTAGAACTTTGCATTTGTCAATATTAAACTGCATCTGCCACTTCACCGACCACTGCATCAGTCTATTCAAATCATCCTGGAGTGCTCTAGTGTCCTCATTAGAATGAATTGGACGGCCTATTTTGGTGTCATCAGCAAATTTGCTTATGTCGCTATTTATTCCCTCATCTATGTCGTTTATGTAAATTGTGAACAACAACGGGCCCAACACTGACCCCTGAGGAACACCGCTTGTGACGTGCCCCCATTCTGATTTCTCCCCATTTATGCAAACTCTCTGCTGTCTATTTGTCAGCCATGCCTGTACCCAGGAAAAAATTTCTCCTCCTATTCCGTGTGCCCTAAGTTTCCTCAAAAGCCTCTGGTGTGGAAGTCTATCGAAAGCCTTACTGAAGTCCATATACACAATATCATATTCATTACCATGATCTACCTCCTCAAACACCTTAGTGAAAAAAGTTAGTAAATTCGTAAGACAGGAACGCCCCTTTGTAAAACCGTGTTGAGATTCATTAATCAATCTGTGCCTGTCAAGATGGCTACGAATTGCTTCGGCAATTATTGATTCCATAAATTTTCCCACTATGGAGGTAAGGCTTATTGGTCTATAGTTCGAAGCCAAGGACCTGTCACCTGCCTTGTAAATAGATATTACATTTGCCGCTTTTGTGTTAATGTTAATAACAGGCTATCACTCCTCTTGACGTGATAAATATATTGGTATGCTCAAGAACAAATGAAAAATATTTCCTCTCATATTTCACTCGGTTCAGACTCAACACGACTGACTCCTCCACACAAGAAGATGGAAGAGATGGCTAGATACATTTTTTGGGTGTCTTACTCGTCAGGAATGATTTTAATTAAACACAAAGTAGGCATTAAACCTACCAATAAGGATGACTAGTATGTTACTACTTCCACAATGATCTTAAACAAAGGAGCTACCATGTTTCTCATCCTGGTCACAGACCGGGCCGCGGGGGCGTTGACCCCCGGAACTCTCTCCAGGTAAACTCCTACGTTCATTTCGAATTTACAAGGTAAACAAAGGAGTTACCATGTTTCTCATCCTACGATCATTTCGAATTTACAAGGTAAACAAAGGAGGAGTTACCATGTTTCTCATCCTACGAGCATTCTGAATTTACAAGGTAAACAAAGGAGTTACCATGTTTCTCATCCTACGAGCATTCTGAATTTACAAGGTAAACAAAGGAGGTACCATGTTTCTCATCCTACGAGCATTTCGAATTTACAAGGACGAATATCTTTCAGGAAAAACAAAGGCATATTGAGGAGGTATTTGTCACCTTAAAGTTCCCATATACAGCAAAATCAAACAGGATACCAGTGTTGATAAACAAACAATGCTCCCCACAGACAAACTGGTATTACCATCGCCCAACTCCCAAGGACAGACAGACGTGGCCGTCCTAACTACCAAAATTATCAATGAGATTACCAGAGGCCCGAGGCCTTGGATCCCAAAGCTACACACACAACACACGCACACAGACACACACAAGCCTAGTGTCCAACCGACATGTGCCTAGGACAAAATGGTAACTAACTGAAAAAAGTGTACAACATACCGTGTGGAAAGTTGTCGGAGAGACAAGTTGAGATCTTCAGACGCCCTCGGGAACACGAATACTCCTGAGCATTATAGCACCAACATGACGTACGAATAATGTTGGTGGAACTGCCGACACAATGTTAGGTAAAAGGACATACGTGCAACTAATGTAACATTTTATGGTGGCAACGTTTCGCTCTGCAGCGTTGTCAAGCCGTTACACTTGACAAAGCTCCTGGAGAGCGAAACGTTGCCACAATAAAATGTCACATTAGTTGCACTTGTGTCCTTTTACCTAACATTATATAAGTGCATAAGAAAGGAGCACTGCCGCAAGCCTACTGGCCCATGCTAGGCAGGTCTGGGCTCACAACTTACAAACATCATGGGCTGAGGGAGAGCACAACGGCTACACTACGAGAACAAGGCGAGGTTATAAGATAAGATTTTCCTCGGATTTTTAACCCCGGTGGGTTAGCCATCCAGGACAACCCAAGAAAGTCAGTGCGTCATCGAGGACTGTCAAACTTATTTCCATTGGGGTCCTCAATCTTGTCCCCCAGGATGCGACCCAGTCGACTAAGACCCAGGTACCTATTTGCTGCTAGGTGAACATGACAACAGGTGTATGGAAACACGTCAAAATGTTTCCATCCCGCAGGGAATCGAACCCAGGCACGCCGTGTGTCAAACGAGAGCTTTAGCCACCGGGTTCCTTGATGCTACCAAGGAGTTCTTAATCTAGTGATCTATGCTCCAATTACCTGAATTGAGTCCGAATGCCTTCCATCCCCCCTCCCTCACAGGCGCTGTATAATCCCTACGGGCTTAGCGTTCCCCTATGATGACCAAAAAACAGCCATAATTGAGTACACAAATAACCCGCACATGGGAGACTAAAATATATGTTGACATTTGGGTCCGACTTGGACCATTGATTAGTATATGTGCGAATTATGTGTGTATTGTTCCAGTCACAGTATTGTTCCTGTTTATTCTTTAACCACTGTTCACCTCACTAATACCATCGCACAGAACAACAGTGTATACATTAGCTAATCCAATCGCTAGCGCACTCGGCTCACACACTGAGGTACGGGGATCGACCCCCCGGTAAGGCTGACAAACATAGGATGTGTTTCCTTAAGACACTTGCTGTCCTTGTTCACCTAGCAGTAAAATATTTACCTGGGTGTCAGTCGACTGGTGTGGGTCGCATCCTGGGACAAAATGATCTAATTTGCGGGAAATGCTCAGCATAACAAGTGACTTTCTATATAGTAGTATGTCACTGATGTCAGCTATGGTCTGTATACCTTGTACATGTGGAAATAAAGATATTATTATTATTATTATTATTATTATTATTATTATTATTATTATTATTATTATTATTATTATTATTATAAATATGCCACCACAGCCCCGCCCTCGTCTATCATCTTCAACCTGTCGTTCTCCGAACCTGACCTCCTGGTGTTAATTTTTATTCCTGTATACTTTAAGACTAGCCTTAGGCGACCCCTTGTAATAAATAATATACGGGTTCTCTGCTACCAGTGTCTATTTCCACTCGTTGACTTACGCCATTATCTAGCAACAAGTGTCGTCAGGAAAGAGGACAAGTCTTTCCTGACGCGGGTTTTAGTCATATGACTCACAGCTGGGACTTTTGGTTATCTGACCGAGGCCTTCCGCTGGCTTACTCCTTCACTCTTTAAAAGACCATGGGTAATATTATTCTATTATTATTAAAGATTCGCCGGTATTCTCCCGGCCCGGGCCTTTTCCAAGTGGTAGCCCGGCCTTGGCTCCCTCTTTAGGGAGTGTCTGAGACCTAAGTCTCCCATGGGAGGAGGCATAAGTACCTCCTCATCTTTGGGACCGACTGTCCCCAGGCCTAGCCACAAGCTAGGCCTCTCTGGTCTGCCATCCCCGCCCCAAGGGGGCACATGGGAATGACAGTCTTATGAGCTAAAGGCTCGGGCTAAAGGCTCGGGCTCAGGCACCTACCCTACCCTAGAAGGGTTAGGCATGGTGTCGATCCGGAGTGTCTGAACTGACCTTATATCCATGTAGGTTGGTGACTGAGCACATGAGAGTGACCTCCTGACCCTCCACTACAGTCACATTATGGGCAGGATGGACGAACTTAGGCGGAGCGGGACTCATCCCTAGTCTGGTGGCCGCCTCATCTGCAATCCAACTCCCTCATTATCATTATTTTCACCAAAATAACGCTAAACCTGCAAGACAAACTTATTTTAAAAGCTAACATGCAGGGGAGACTATTATATTTAAAAAAAAAAAGTAAATCAACAACATGGGAGACTATTATATTAAACACAAACTTACAGGGATAGTATCGTATTTAAAAAACTAATGATAATGTTGAAATGAGAGGTTCCAAAGAATTAATCCTTTATTTTCATTTCTGTAACACAAGGAATCTATGCATAACCCGACAAAAATAGCTATAGTATTTTGTGCAATGCTCTTTTATGTGAGGGGAAAAATTTGTGAAAATATATATTATTTTATGGGAGGTAGAGTGTATGAGGTAAATTATACGCCGGGACAATCAGCGCACGTGACTGGCCGGTCCAGTGATGTAAACAGTTCCAATACTAAAACGTATTTCTTGATGACTAAATGAACATTGGGTTAGGTTGGGTTACACTGGGTAGGGCTGGGATGGATAACGTTGGGTAGGGCTGGATTGGGTTATGCTGGGATGTGTTACATTGGGCAGGACGAGGCTGGGTTACATTAGTTACAATAGTTAAACAAGGATTTTTTTTTGTAATATTTGTTCTTAAGGCAAAAATATATACCCCAAACACGTAAACTACTGAGAACAGTTGAAATTCCTTGACCTGTACTCCCTGGAACACAGGCGAGAGAGATACATGATAAGATACACTTGGAAAAATCTTAGCGGGATATTAGTGCAATATCACCTCAGTGAAAAGCAGGGACGATATGAGTACACTAAGAGACAACACTAAGTGTCAAGGGCCCAAGACTGTTCACTGCCTCCCAGCATACATAAGGGGGATTACCAATAGACCCCTGGATATCTTCAAGAAGCTGGACAGACACTTTTAATTAAGTCAGTACTTGACCATCCGGCTGTGGTTCATAGGTTGGTTTACGTGCGGCCAGCAGTAACAGGCTGGTTGATCAGGCCCTGATCCACCACGAGGCCTGGTCTTGGACCGGGCCACGGGGGCGCTGACCCCCCCGGAACACCCTCCAGGTGTAACCATTATTTTCCTCCGATTTTCACAATATAGTATATAACCATCTCCATTAGTCAAATAATTCAGATTTACAAACATACCAACCATAAATTTTCGAGAAACTCTAGAGACCTTAAAATCAATATTTACCGAAATTATATGTGCAAAACACTCCTACGTAACACTTGTGGCTGGATAAAGGATAAATACAATGAGAGATGTATTTCTCCCAATGTATATATGCTAGGAGCTTACCTGATCCACTATTTAAGGGATTAAACTATTCTTGACTGATGGGAATTCGTTAAGTGTAGCCTTAAATGGCTCTAGTCTGGTATCGACACCATGCCCAGCCCTTCTAGGGCAGGGTAGGTGCCTGAGCCAGAGCTTGCAGCTCACAAGACTGTCATTCCCATTAGCCTCCTTGGGGCGGGGATGGCAGACCAGAGAGGCCTAGCTTGTGGCTAGGCCTGGGGACAGTTGGTCCCAAAGATGAGGAGGTACTTGTGCCTCCTCCCATGGGAGACTTAGGTCTCGGATACTCCCTAAAGAGGGAGCCAAGACCGGGCCACCACTTGGAAAAGGCCCGGGCCGGGAGAATACCGGCGAATCTTTAGTAAGTCTAGTCTGGTAAATAGGATTTAAACCTCATTATCCAGGTGAATCCTAGTTCAACACACATTACTGTCCAGTTATATACTTGTACGTCGAATTACAAATATAAATTAAAACGCCAATATCCAAAAATTAACAATTATAGAAATATCAGTGTAAGTGGGCAACCTCTTCGATAAGGGAGGCTGGCTATAACATTATGCTCTGGACGTTGAAAAAACTCAGCCCCCCAAAATATATTAGACGGTGATGAAGTTGGGGATATAGACACTTAAAATTTGGAGAGTATATAGAAAAAGTGCGTAATTTGGAAACACTTTGTAGTGGAGGAGTGCTTTACATTGCTCAGTGTTGAAACGACCGGCCTTACAAATTGACGTAGTATTGTTATTATTATTAAATTTATGGTTTTATTAATGGGGTTTTAAAGACTTATGTCTAGATTGGTTTATTAAGTAACAGTGGTGAAAGTAACCTGTTTGATGGTCAAAGTAACTGTTTTGTATGGTAACAGTAATCCTTTTGGTAACAGTAACGTTTGTGGTTAACTAGTAACCTGTTTGATGGTCAACAGTAACCTGTTTGATGGTCAACAGTAACCTGTTTGGTCAACAGTAACCTGTTTGATGGTCAACAGTAACCTGTTTGATGGTCAACAGTAACCTGTTGATGGTCAACAGTAACCTGTTTGATGGTCAACAGTAACCTGTTTGATGGTCAACAGTAACCTGTTTGATGGTCAACAGTAACCTGCTTGATGGTCAACAGTAACCTGTTTGATGGTCAACAGTAACCTGCTTGATGGTCAACAGTAACCTGCTTGATGGTCAACAGTAACCTGTTTGATGGTCAACAGTAACCTGTTTGATGGTCAACAGTAACTTGTTTGATGGTCAACAGTAACCTGTTTGATGGTCAACAGTAACCTGTTTGATGGTCAACAGTAACTGTTTGATGGTCAACAGTAACTTGTTTGATGGTCAACAGTAACCTGTCTTGATGGTCAACAGTAACCTGTTTGATGGTCAACAGTAACCTGCTTGATGGTCAACAGTAACCTGTTTGATGGTCAACAGTAACCTGTTTGATGGTCAACAGTAACCTGTTTGATGGTCAACAGTAACCTGTTTGATGGTCAACAGTAACTGTTTGATGGTCAACAGATACCTGTTTGATGGTCAACAGTAACCTGCTTGATGGTCAACAGTAACCTGTTTGATGGTCAACAGTAACCTGTTTGATGGTCAACAGTAACCTGCTTGATGGTCAACAGTAACCTGCTTGATGGTCCATATTTATCAGTAACTTGTTTGATGGTACAAACTATAAAGTAACCTGTTGATGGCAAAATTAACAAGTAACCTGTATGTGTAAGGTGGTCAACAGTAACCTGTTTGATGGTCAACAGTAACTTGTTTGATGGTCAACAGTAACCTGCTTGATGGTCAACAGTAACCTGTTTGATGGTCAACAGTAACTTGTTTGATGGTCAACAGTAACCTGCTTGATGGTCAACAGTAATCCGTTCACCACCAGTCAAAAATACTTTGATCCCTAAAATAGGGATTAAACTCAGCATATAAACATTAAGAGACTCTTTTCAGTGTATACATATTGTCTATTAATAATAATAATAATAATAATAATAATAATAATAATAATAATAATAATAATAATAATAATTATTATTATTATTATTATTATTATATTATTATTATTATTATTATTATTATTATTATTATTAGTTAAATGAGCCTCGACTGGGGAAACATTAGATAAGATTTGTCAGGAAACAGGACTAGTGTTTCCTGACGCGAGTCTTAGATGGCCCAGAGCTGGAGCTTTTGGTCGTGTGGGAATTTACTGAGTTTCAAGAAATCCCACAGGGCCATTGTAACAAAATCCCACAGGGCCATTGTAACAAAATCCCACAGGGCCATTGTAACAAATCCCACAGGGCCATTGTAACAAAATCCCACAGGGCCATTGTAACAAAATCCCACAGGCCATTGTAACAAAATCCCACAGGACCATTGTAACAAAATCCAAGGGCCATTGTAACAAAATCCCACAGGGCCATTGTAACAAAATCCCACAGGGCCATTGTAACAAAATCCCACAGGGCCATTGTAACAAAATCTCACAGGGCCATTGTAACAAAATCCCACAGGGCCATTGTAACAAAATCCCACAGGGCCATTGTAACAAAATCCCACAGGGCCATTGTAACAAAATCCCACAGGGCCATTGTAACAAAATCTCACAGGCCATTGTAACAAAATCCCACAGGGCCATTGTAACAAAATCCAACAGGGCCATTGTAACGAAATCCCACAGGGCCATTGTAACAAAATCCAACAGGGCCATTGTAACAAAATCCCACAGGGCCATTGTAACAAAATCCCACAGGGCCATTGTAACAAAATCCCACAGGGCCATTGTAACAAAATCCCACAGGGCCATTGTAACGAAATCCCACAGGGTCATTGTAACAAAATCCAACAGGGCCATTGTAACAAAATCCCACAGGGCCATTGTAACAAAATCCCACAGGGCCATTGTAACAAAATCCCACAGGGCCATTGTAACAAAATCTCACAGGACCATTGTAACAAAATCCCACAGGGCCATTGTAACAAAATCCCACAGGGCCATTGTAACAAAATCCCACAGGGCCATTGTAACAAAATACCACAGGGCCATTGTAACAAAATCCCACAGGGCCATTGTAACAAAATCCAACAGGGCCATTGTAACAAAATCCCACAGGGCCATTGTAACAAAATCCCACAGGGCCATTGTAACAAAATCTCACAGGGCCATTGTAACAAAATCCCACAGGGCCATTGTAACAAAATCCCACAGGGCCATTGTAACAAAATCCAACAGGGTCATTGTAGCAAAATCCCACAGGGCCATTGTAACAAAATCCCACAGGGCCATTGTAACAAAATCCCACAGGGCCATTGTAACGAAATCCCACAGGGCCATTGTAACAAAATCCCACAGGGCCATTGTAACAAAATCCCACAGGGCCATTGTAACAAAATCCCACAGGGCCATTGTAACAAAATCCCACAGGGCCATTGTAACAAAATCCCACAGGGCCATTGTAACAAAATCCCACAGGGCCATTGTAACAAAATCCCACAGGGCCATTGTAACAAAATCCCACAGGGCCATTGTAACAAAATCCCACAGGGCCATTGTAACAAAATCCCACAGGGCCATTGTAACAAAATCCCACAGGGCCATTGTAACAAAATCCCACAGGGCCATTGTAACAAAATCCCACAGGGCCATTGTAACAAAATCCCACAGGGCCATTGTAACAAAAT